TCTTCTAACACAAATTTGTTCTTCTTGCAGTCCGTGGTACTTTTAATATTCTCCAGCACCATAACTGAAATGCATCAATTCTTCTACGTTCTTTACTCATTGTCCAACATTCACATGCATATGAGGCTATTGAAAATACTATGGCTTGGGTCAGGCACACCCTAGTCTTCAAACTGACATCTTTTCTCTTGAATACTTTTAAAGAGGTCTTGTGCAGCAGATTTGCCTAATGCAATACATTGTTTGATTTCTTGACTGCTGTTTCCATGAGTGTTGATGGTTGATCCTAGCAAACTATAAAGTCTTTGACAACTTCAATCTTTTCTTCATTTGTCTGTTATTTATTGGTCTAGTGGTGAGGATTTTTGTTCTGTTTATAGTGAGGTGCAACCCATACAGAAGGCTGTGTTCTTTGATCTTCATCAGTAAATATTTTTAAACCCTCTTCACTTTCAGCAAGCAAGGTTGCATCATCTGCCTATTGCATGTTGTTACTGAGTCTTCTTCCAATCTTGATGCCATGTTTTCTTCATATAATCCAGCTTCTTGTATTATTTTTTTGCATATAGATTGAATAAATATGGTGAACATTTCCCCGTTTTAAACCATTTTCCGTGTCCCTTTGTTCTATTTGAACAACTACCTCTTGGCCTATTACAGGTTCCTCATGAGCATAATTGGTACAGAGTACTCATTCTCTGCATTGTTGGCCATAGCTTGTCATGATCCACACAGTCAAAAGCCTTTGCATAGTCAATAAAGCACAGGTATACGTCATTCTGGTATCCTTTGCTTTCAGCCAAGATCCATCTGATGTCAGCAGTGATACACTTTGTTCCACATCTGCATCTGAATCTGACTGGAACCTCTGGCAGTTCCCTGTTGATGTACTGTTGTAGCCGTTTTTTTAATGTTTTCCAAAATGGTCCTACCATTTTACTTCTCATCAGTAACATAAGGTTCCTCACTATCACTTATATTGTCTGTTTTTTAAATTATAGCCATTCTGGCTCACTGTAACTCATTGTGGCTTTGATTTACAGTCAATCACAAGATGGGTGATTCAAATCCACCAGCTACTCCTTGGAAACCCTATACAGGGTTGCAACTGACTTGACAGCACTTAATTACAGCAGATGAATAATAATGTGCATCTTTTTATGTGGTCATTGGCCATTTGTATATCTTCTTGGAGAAATGTCTATTCAAATCTCTTGCCCATTTTAAAATTGGGTTGTCTATGTATTATTGATTGGTAAGAATTCTTTATATGTTCTAGCTACAATCCCCTTGCCAGATACATGCTTTATAAATACTTTCTCTCACTCTGTAGGTTGCCTTTTCATTTTCTTGATGATATCATTTGCAGCACCAAAGTTTAAATTCCTGATGTAACCCATTTATCTATTGTTGTTCTTGTTGCTTGTGAATTTATTGCTATATTAGTGCTGTTTTTTAAGGGCGAGTTGATTATGCCATGTTTTTAAAGTTTATTAACAGAACGATGGTTCCATGGGCAGTTACAAAATGCAGACCAGGATGAGAAGGTTTCCGGGGGTGGGAAGTACTCAGGCAGCAGAAAGACATGAATTCTGTTTTGGATGTACTGAGTGTAAGGTGCAGAAATGAGAAGCAGGGAAACAGATGCCAAGTAAACAGCCAAAATACAAAGGGACTTCAAATAGTTTGTGGGAGATGGAATTGAAAGATAAGAGGATTTTCCCGTGAACTTTTTGAAGCATCCTCGTAAAGGTCTTAAGAAAAGAAAAGAAAGCCGGAGATGAAGGAAACATCCTTATAGAAGTGACAGCGTTGCTGCAGGAATAGAAGAACTCTACGCCAAGGATCTAAGACGGGTTTTGGAGTGTGTAGAGGAATGTTTGGAGGTAGAACAGAATAGCACTGTGTCAAGGAGCCAGGAGGACATGTGTCATGGCAGAAGGTGTGACTAATAATGTCACATGGGGTGAGGAGTAGAGTGGGGTGAATGGGGTAAAGAAGAGAGAAGAGAGATGTGACCTTTCTCAGGGCAGTGGAACGGCAAATCTGGACTACGGATGTCAATGGGCAGGAAGGAAGCGTCAAGAAATATAAAAATAGAAAGTGTGATAGTTTGACAAAAATGCCTTTGATTTTTCATTTTTTAAGATTGGTGGATAAGTATTTGTGGGCTAAGGGGAAGGAATATGTGGAGAAGGGGAGATGAAAAATCTGTTGATGTGATGGTCTTTATATGGAGGGGAGGAACTCTCAGTGGAAGGGAGAGTCTTCCCAAAATTTCACCACAGCACTTTCTTTAAAGGCAAATTTCCTAACACCCTATGTATGATACGGTATTTGGGATGCCATTTTGGGAAATGATGATCTTGTCTAAGGGCGTATCAAGGCTAGGAACTTTAATCTCCAAGGGGTAGTCCCGGAACATGGCAGTTATGATAATAGTAAGTGGGTGGATGAAGGAGGGAAAGGAAGAGGGTCCCATCACCCTGATACAGGGAATGAGGCAGTGTGGATGGGGATGGATATGTAAGTCATGAAAGTGAGGGAGAAGCTGAGTGGCTCCCGTCTCCTCAGTTAGCAGGAAATGAGCTCACAACTGAGTAAGTGGGATGGGGTCCCATGGTCATTCAGTCTTTTACATGAATTGTTAGCAACTGTGTTGAATGTGACTGCTTGTCATTGTCAACATTTGAGTAACACGGCCCTGCTGATCTTTTAACACCATTTTTTGTGTTCTAGTTGATGCTCTCTGAGTGGTTAATTGACGTCCCTTCAGATTTGGGGCAGGAATGGATCGTGGTCGTCTGCCCTGTTGGAAAAAGAGCTCTAATCGTGGCCTCCAGGGTGAGTAGCTGCCCCAGCCTGATCCAGCATGCTTGATCTGTTTACCGCCCTGGCCTGGCTCTGCCTTCGTTGTTCTGTGCCTGCCATGGAGTTGTAGGGGGGTTCTTTGTGCTCCATATTCCTGTCTCCCACTGCAGCTGTGCCTGAAGCTGAGGCGCTTTCCTGTAGGAGGGAGTTGTTGAGAGTTTCGTCTGGGTGACAACCTGCAGAATGAGAGAGCAAGAGGGTGGGGGAAACCGAGGTGCCTGCTGAGAATGGTAGCTTTCTCTCCACACAGGGTTTTACTAGTGCCTACACCAAGAGTGGCTACTGTGTCAACAGATTTTCTTCCCTCTTGCCAGGAGGCAACAAGCGAAACTCAACAACAGCAAAAGGTACCCACATAAAATGTTTACGTTTTATAATCAGTAGAAAGTGCAAGTTGTATGGTGAGTCGTTTTAGAAACCCACTTTGAGAGCACACCTTTGAAACTGCCCACTTTAGGTACTGTGCTGGCCACTGGACTCTAGCTCTGTCCCCATACCCCCTTCTCCCCCGCCCCCCAATGACAGGTGTCACAGTTCTATGAAGCTCTGGGTAACGAATTCCTGAATTAAGGTCACTCTGCTTTCCTAGGGACTGGCTTTATGAGGGGACAGATGCAGTTCCTAGTGGAAAGGCCCCTCAGAGAACGCCAGGGATGAAAATAGAGCAAGCTGTCACTGGGGCTTCTCTGCCAAATTCCTTTTTCTTTTTCATTGTCCTCACTGTAGCTTCTCCCTCCCATTCGAACCCAGCTGAGGAAACGAAGGTCGTGGAGGTTCACTAACTTGCCCACAGTCACTGGGTGAGAAAGTGGGAGAGCTGGTTCCACAGTTCCTTGCATCCCCTGCACTCAGCCCACTCTAATCTCTCAGCTTCTAAGCCCTTCACAAATGGTCTTTGACCCACCCTTTCTTAATTCTTTCTCCTGCTTTCCATGCCCCTCCCAGCTCTATTTATTTGCTTGCTTCCTTGCCCCCACACTCTACCTCTGGCCCTTTCCCACCCGAAATGTTCTTTCTCTTTTTTTCTTTCATTTTTTACTATGAATTGAGGGACACTTAACAGACAAGATCATCAGCTTTACTTTCAAACAATCATATGTTTTGTTTCATATCAATGATTACAATCCCCTCCCTGTAACAACAGTTATCCTGCTTCCTCCCTGTGGCTTCCCGTTTACATCTTATTTTTCACAAATCAACAATATATATATATTTATTTAAATGTCCAGAGGCCACATTTTGTAAGCCAGCCTCCAGCCCTCAGGCACCCAGCCTCTCTCAGTCCATGTCTAGTTGCACTATTCTGTAACTCTTCTGTCTCCATGCCATCGTCTCTGCCGCCATCTTTGCTGTGACCACTTTTCTAGGTAGGGTTTCATGCTCCACTCTTGGTCTTCCTTCTTGTTGGTTCTGGTATCCTCTGTTCCTGAAATGAAACATTAACTACTCCCTCCTTTTAGTTACATATCTTGTACAATTACAGTTGTCACAATTGCAATTAATCCTGCTAATAATTGCTCACAGTTGAATTATAAAATCCTATCAGCATCATTCCCTACTCCCTTTCACCAGATCCATCTAGAAAAGAAGAAAACTATTCAGTGGGGATTCTACCTTACCGCCCTTGTTTTGAAACTAAGAACACTCATGAAAGCTTGTAAGCCAGCTACTTCATGCCTTTATAGCCAGCCCCCTCCCCCAATTTTTGATCGTCAATGTCTAAATTGCCTGTACCTATCAACCTTACACTAAGGAAACAAGCTTGTTCCTTGATATGAAGAATCGTTCCATTCCAGTTGGAATTTTTAGCAACTGCATCCATAAGCAAAAGTCTAGTTCATCAAATTGTAGCAATTTGCACTTGCTCACTGTGTCAAACATGCTTATCTTCAGTTAGCCATTCAAGCTAGGTCAAATGGGTACTTGCTGCAAGTTTGGGAGTTCATACACACCTCCCCACAACAAGCCAGTTGGCTGCTTCACTCTCAGCTCTAACCCTAGGGGCTAGGTCAGTGCCCATAGGCTTAAGAGTTCATACATCTTCCAAAGTTCAGACCAGCCAGCCCTTCTCATCTCTTTCTCATCTCAAGATCAGCGGGTGTCTATGGAACATGGCCAAACTCAGCCCTTGTTTTCATTGCTGTATTTCCCCCACTTCCATTCACAAGTAGATCAGAGTGGTCACCAGCGAGCATACTAGACTGCTTGTGGGTTCCCTTTGAGTTTCAGTCTTAGAAGGGGGTTTTCCCTGACTTTTCTTGCATTGGTCCCTCCAAAGCAAGAACCTGTTTGATACTCGAACAGCCAATCTGCTTTTTTTCTGCTGGTATTTCTTTTCAATAAAAATCTTCTATTCTCCCAGTAGTTCTGGGTTGGTCTGCGTGTCTTTTCAAGTGGGAATGTCCCACCTCAGAAGGTTCTAGGTGGAGATCAGAATTCCACCTGTGACTTCATACTCCACAAAGGCTTAACAAGAAGCCCATTTCCCCGAGTAAATTTTAATTCCTCTTTTAGCTAATCCATTCAGTTATAGACTGAAGATGGGCTTACAAGTTTTCTGTAATCATAATTCTCAGTATTCATTTCTATCACACTTAAATGTCTATTTTACAATAGTAGGCATGGGAAACCAATATCTACAAGACAGTCAAGCCCCTAAATGTTTTTTCTCTCTCCTTTACCTATTCAGACTGTGTCTCGATCCCTGTATCACAGAACACTGTTGGTCCAAGGTTGTACATAAATCACAACTGAAATGGTGTTTAAATCCTGGTGTTCCCAGAACATTGTTCATATCCCATCTGCCATGAAGCATCTTCTGCTGTATCCATCTTCTCTTACTTTCCCATTGCTCATAATGGATGCTGTACAGTTTAGCTTTCGGTTCTTCCCTTTGTGATCATCTTAGCTCTGCAACTGGATTATCACTACCTTAAATTAATGTTGCCCACGTAACTATGCAGCGCTCATGATAGGATCACAAAAGTAGTTGTATATGAAAACTAAAGATTATGTTCTTTAAAACTTGAACTCTAAAGTAAGACAATTCTAGGAGTTCAGAATTCCACCTGGCTTGAAGAATGTCTGATCCCTCTTGTGCTGTCCTACCGGTTGTGAAAAACTGTCACCCAACAAGCTGTTAATCCTGACCCCAGGGGGACCCAAGCACTGGGGATTACTGCAAGAACCAATGATTATTACATTGTGACTGGGCAGTGTAGGAGGGGGGACTCCCTGAATCGTGGCAGGGGGGAGTCTGAGTCCGAGGGCATCCTGCATTGACTCTCTGATTTGTGTCCCTAGACTATACCATTCTGGACTGCATTTACAGTGAGGTAAACCAGACCTACTATGTTTTAGATGTGATGTGCTGGCGGGGACACCCTTTTTATGACTGTCAGGTGAGGACTTGGTACTCCACTTTTGTCTTCTCCTGTCTTCTCTCCTCCCGGGAAAGTGGCTCAGCATGTGGGTTTCGTACGTGACCAACTTCTAGGTGTGTACAGGATGTGGTGTATCAAGAACATTATCTAATGCTCCTTACATCTTAATCTTTCAGTGTGTTTAAATTAGTTTGGTTTTTTTTTTTTAAAGAGAGAGAGAAAAAAGACTAAGGGAAGTATGGCAATTCTTAAAGGAAGGAAACACAGAAACAGCAGAAGGGTAGCCTGGGACTTGGTAGCAGCTGCAAACGCCCTCACCTTGTACCTGAATGTGGAAGGATTGCTGGTAGGGAAGACAGTGGCGTTAGCAGGGGGAATGTCACTTTGTGCAGGTGGACACAAGGGAGAGAAGGTCTAATGGAAGGCACCATCAAATAAAATCCTCCACCCTTCACTCCATCAACCACATCCTGACCCTGAAAGTGGCGGGGCTTTCTGGGTAGGGCACAAAGCCTTGAATCTCTGAGGGGATAGCTCTGAAAGGAGACTTTCCAAGTGAGGAGAGGTCCCACAATTCTACCCTCACCTTTCACCTTCCCTCAAAGTTTTTCTCATATTGGTGAGTCTTACAGATGAACAGCACAGCCATCAGAGTAAGGCTGGCTTGGCCCTTCAGCCTCCCTATCAGCAGCTCTCCCACCATCACTGTCTCCCTCGTTCATAGCATTGCCTTTTGATACTCCCTCTTGCTCTTTGAAGGAGCCTTGGTGGCACTGTGGGCTAAGCATTGGACTGCCAACCATGAAGTTGGTGGTTCAAACCCACCAGCCACTCGGAGGGAGAAAAATGAAGCTGTCTGCTTCTGTAAAGATATACGGTCTTGGAAATCCTACGGAGGGAGCAGTTCTACTCTGCCCTATGACTTGTGATCGACTCGATGACATTGGGTTTTTGTTTGTTTTGGCTCTTCATCGATTAGCTTATCAATTCTTCATATGTGGTCCCTGAATCAGGAGTAGCAGGAAGTTGTTTGTTGTTTGTTGTTGTTGTTAAGTGCCTTCAAGTCAGTTCCTGTATAGAGTTTTCGAGGCTTTAAATCTTCACAGGAGCAGAAAGCCTCATCTTTTTTCTGTGGAGTGTCTGGTGGTCTCGAACTATAAACCTTGTGGTTTGCAATCCCATGCTTATCTTATGGAGCCTTAGCAAGTTGTTAGAAATGCACATTCTCAGATCTGAATCAAACACTGTGGGGCTAGGGTTTATGTTCTAACAAGCCTCTAGGTGATCCTTCTGCGGGCTCAAGTAGTACATTAGAGCAGTCTAATGTATGCTGTGTCACTAGTACATTAGTGACATGGCGGCTGTCACCCCAAGATACAGTTTCAAGTCATCCCAGGAGGTGGTTCAGACTTTCCCCTTGCCATTCATTCAGTGGTTAATAGCCAAGATCTGCATTGCTAAGCACTTGGTGATTAGTATCTACTTGCATCCCTTTCAACAGCTCTAGAAGGTGAGGACTGTTATTACCTTCTTCATGTGGAGATGAGAGCCACATGTATTAAGTATTGCCCAAGTGCAGCGCCAAGCCGAAAACTCAGAACTCAGAAATTCAATCCAGAACTGCTCAATGTCAGTTTCCTGTTGGTTCTGATATTTGATCATTTTAAAACATTTGCTAACTAAAGTCACCGTGAAGACTGTAAATATTTAATTTCATAACATAAAGTAATTTAAAAGAAAAGCCCTGAAATAAGTACAGAACAAATACATATCAGAAACTCAAAGAAGAAAATCGTTTATGAGAAGTTAGAACCATGCGGTAATTGGTAATCCTCAAGAGTAAAAGAAAACAAAGGCTAACGTAATATGTTTTGGAGTTGGAGTCTTGGGTCCTACGGTACTTTGTGTGTGTACTTGGGCAAGTGACTTAACCTCTCTGAATCTCTGAATCTTTTCTTGTATAATGGGGATGATGACTGTGTATTCCTCAGAGGGTAGATGGAAGGGTTATCTCCTCAGAGGGTAGTTGTAAGGGTTGCTAAGATGATGCATGTAAAATGCCAAACACGGAGCCACACACATAGTAGGCCTACAATAGTAAATGTTGTCTTTAGGGCTTATCAATAATCCAACTGGATTTTAGGGAGGCGGAAATCTTCAAAACTTTTATAAGCATCTTCCTGACACTGGGGCAGTTTTTATTTTTATAAAGGGCAATGGGGTTCTTAGTAAATCTGGTGGCTCTTTTCAATGGGGTGTCCTCATATTACTCAGATAAGCAATATTGTTACCGGGACTATTACTTTCACCTCTGCCCTTCAAAAGAGGGGTCTTACCTTCTATTGATTAAGGATAGTCAGGTGAGGCAGCGTTTCCATATGAGCAAAGGTTGATTATAGAAAAGAGGCTTGCAAGTGGATATGGAAGGGTTTAGTGTAACTCTTAACCCCTGACTCCCCAACAAAAGCCGTGGTGTTTTGGTGCGTTTTGTTTTAAGTTTTGGATGGGAAAAGGCATTATGTTGATTCACAAGGATAGGCAGGGATTTCCAGGAAGTGGCCCCTCTTAAAAAAGGTAATTGGGTGCCTGCTCAGCATTTCACTACAAAGGTCTCTCTGGTAGGAGCAGACAGAACTTATTCTGGGAAGTCAACCATGTGTAGTTATTTGGGATCCTGGTTCAAACCCCTCCCAGGGACTGCCATTCTCCTCTACCTCAGTACAAGGTGTGTCCTTTAAAGTTATGCCTAGGGTACTAGGTAAACCAGTCTGACCTGTAAAATATCTCACAAGGAAGTAAACGTACAGAATTTTTATGGGTAATCTTCCTTAATAGCATGTCTCATAAAATATGAATTTTTATAGGTGGTCTTCCTTAATGATATCTCAGAATGTGACTGCCTAGCTATGTACCCTGGACATGTCTTACACATCTTTACAATTGCTCAAGCAAAGGGGCCAGGGATGTGCAGGCTTCAGCATTCCTCAAGACTTCCATCACAAGACGCTAGTCAATAAGTGACATGTGTCTAATCCTGATTTCTATACATCCTTCCCCCTGTCTCAATACTCCATGTTTTTCCCTCTCTTCTCTATGGCAGACTGATTTCCGGTTCTATTGGATGCATTCGAAGTTACCAGAAGAAGAAGGACTGGGAGAGAAAACAAAGCTCAATCCTGTAAGAGCTGGAGTTAGAATCGTGCAGTTCTTTAAGGAGCTAAATGTGCATTCGTCTGTCATCTCAGTATAACCATTCTGAATGATACTGTCTTTGTTTAAGGCAGCATGGCGTCCTGGAAATAGTATGGCTTTAGCAGTCATCCAGATCTGAATTCCAGTTCTGACTTTGAGGATTGTTGTTGTTGTTAAGTGCTGTAGAGTCGGTTCCAACCCATAGCGACCCTGTGTAGGGTTTCCGAAGAGCAGCTGATGAGCTTGAACCATTGACTTTGTGGTTCAAACCGACTTTGCAGTCCAGTGTAGTAACTCACAGCGCCACACCAGGACTCTTGAGGATTACTAGATTAAATTAATAACCTGATTTGGCCTTAGTTTCTTGATCTTTGTAATAAATTTGAATAATACCTACTCCATGGGGTTATTATGAGAACCAAATGATATTGTGGTGGTGGTGGTTATGTGCTGTGGAGTCAGTTCCGACTCATAGTGACCCTACGTTGGGTTTCCGAGGCTGTAAATCTTTACGGGAGCAGAAAGCCTCATCTTTCTCTCACTTAACAGCTGGTAATTTTGAACTGTTGACCTTGAGGTTAGCAGCCCAATTCTTAACCACTACACCACCAGAGCTCCTTAAATGATATTTGTAATATCTGCATATAATGCTTACAGTAGGCACTCAGTAAATAATGTTTGATACACAATAATAAATGATTCTGTTAACAATGCTGTTTAGAGTATGGGTGGAGCTGGAAGACATTTATTATGCTGAGTGAAATAAGTCAGTCACAAAAAGGACAAGTTATTTTGCAACATGACTTATATAAAAAAAGACAAAGCAAATGTACTCACAGAGCACAACGTTTCTTTGGTTAGCAGGGGTGGGAGGGAGGAAAAAAGGAGGTGATGGAAATGGTGCATTGATTAAAGGTAGTCTTACACAGCTGATGATTGTTAATGGGGCTGAGAGTGTTGCATCATTTCAGAGTAGGCTTACACAGCTGATGATTGTCACTGCTGTCAATAAGTTGTTAATGCTGTTGATTCCGACCCATAGCGACCCTGTATAGGGTTTCCAAGGAGCAGGTGGTGAGCTTGAACCACCCACCTTGCAGTTCAAACAACTTTGCAGTCTGATGCATTAGCGCAGAGCTCCACACCAGAACTCCAATAAGTAGTGTACCTGGTGTGCGATGTATTTATAATGACAACAACAACAACAAAAACGTGGCTGCTGGGACTGCTGATATGCAGCCAAAAACATCCTGGATGTTGGTTTCTTGATTTGGAGACTAAGGGTCATGGTTTCACGGGACATCCCAGTTAACTTGCCCAGTGACATGTTTAGTGCTTCTGTTCTACCTCCTTGTTGTTAAAAGCTTGTTAAGCGGTCATTTAGGACAGGATAATTGAATTCTTTTCTTTGGAACTACAGAGGAAGAAGAGTCAGGAAAAGGGGGAGGATATGGAATGTGTGGCTAATTGTCTCTGTGAACAATTGCCTCGTTTTCCATGAGACCAGAGGAACAGGATGGTGCTCAGCTACTGTTATTGGACACTTGGTCAAAGATTCCAGAGAAAAATCCTAATCAAAAGGGGAAAATACAAAATGTCAAATTCCCATGGATTCCAGACTTCCTAGAGCCATGAAGGTTGGATGAATTACTGAAACTATTTGCCCTGACATAATCTTTAAACCTTAAACCACAAATACTCTCTGAAGATGTCTTACAACCAAACAATAGGTAGTTTAATGAGCTAAAAATGTGCCTTGAGCATTGTGCTCTTTTAAGAACTATTTATATGGGACCAAACTGACAACAGCAACTTGAAAGATTAGATAGGAAACTTAGGAGGCAGTGACTTTATGTTAATGGGGGAGAAAAGCTCTCAGAAACAGAGTGAGGAATGTAATAAATGTCACTGAATGCTACATGTAGAAACTTGAATTGGTGTATGTTTTGCTGTGTGTATTCTCAAAAACAACAAAATAAATATAATTTTAAATAATTATTTAAAATTCTAGCACAGTTGTATATGCATCAGTAGCACCCAGAGAATTGTTTAAACATCGATTCCTGGGCTTTGTGTTTAGAGTTTGTGATTTAGTAGTTCTGGACCCCGCGGGAGAAAGATGAGGCTGTCTGCTCCCATAGATTACAGTCTGGGAACCCTTGAGGAGGAAGCAGTTCTACTCCGTGAAGAGTCGCAATGAGTCAGAATCAATTAAATGGTCATAGGTGGGGGCTGGATTGGAAAACATGCATTCCTAACTTATCCCCTGGTGACGCTGGAGCTGTTGGTCCATAGCCCTGAACTGGGAGTGCTTTCTTGTATCTGAACTGGGGAGTGCCTTCATCCAGTCAGTCTCCCCATTTTACAGGTAAGAACGCAGGCTGTCTTACCCAAGGCCCCACCATCCAGGATGATAACTAAGGTGTCTTGACTATCCACTTAATGATTTAAATACATAATAGTTACCTTCAGGGCATTTTATTAGCCAAGCCTGCAGATTGACATTTGCTTGGAATGCTTACAAATGTTCTAAAGGCATTTGGACAACCACTTACTGGAGAATGAATAGACTCTACTGCTAGTGATGCTCTCAGTTAGGTCCTAGAAGGACCTATGAATTGAAGAAAGGGAACATGGGATACTGCTCTAAGATGCTGTTCTAAGTGCCCTAAGTGTACATGCTCCGCGGGAGAAAGATGAGGCGATCTGCTCCCGTAAAGATTTACAGCCTCGGAAACCCTGTACAGGGTCGCTATGGGTCGAAACCGACTCGACGGCACTTAACAACAACAACAACAAAGTGTACATGGTGGCTTCAAAAAGTTCGTGGAAAGATGGGATGAAGCTATAATGGACTTTTCCCATGAACTTTTTAAATCCCCTTTCAGTACCCCATTGAATCTGCCTAACACCTCTTATAAGAAGATACTTTTAAATATATATATAGGGTATGTATTTTGAAGCAGAATATAGTAGTAGCCATGCCAAAAATTTAGCTTGATTAGAAATTACAGTGTGTACACCTTAAGATATATGAAATGAAAATGTCTTAACGGAAATTTTGCCAAAGATTTTTCAATGATTTTCCTTTTGATTGTTCAAGTCACAGTTTAGGCAACTTCTTCTGAAACTGGGCTCATGATTAAATCTCGACACTTGCTACTGTGATAAAGTTGAACAAAGCACACTTTCGATATGTCCTTCATGAAACAAATTCAGTGAATCAGTGTGGCTGTGCATTCTATAAAGTGAATTATATTCTCTTGTTGAGCAGGCTGAGTCTGGGGTGAGGAGAGTGGAGCCTCGGGAACCAGGAGTTGTAAAGCACAGCAGTATACTGGGCAGAGGAAAGGGCTGAGTTCCAGGTGGCCGACTCTTGTTAGCACTTGGCTGCAATACGTCAGGTCTTGACCACAATTCTCCCTTGTGTGGGAGATATTCTGCCTCTATATTTGCAGATCCTCTTACTGTGTTTGCTAACCCCTTCTGTGTAGTCAGTTGCTGTGGCTTATACTTAGTGTGTTTTTAACAATGCAGCCCTCTCAGGCATTAATTTTCTATGTGCATTCTGTGTATTATATGCATGGGTGAGTTATATGCAAAGAAGAAAAATGTGAGCAATGGTCAAAGCTCTTTTGGCTGCTAACTGAAAAGTCAGCATTTTGAACCCACCAGATGCTCCATGGTCAAGCAGATGCTTTTATTATCCCATTTTACAGATGTAAACTGAGACTCATGGAGATTAAATGATTGGCAGACTTGGGCTTCACACCTAGGCATTCTGGCTTCAGAGGCTTGTAGCCCTAACACGTTTCAGTTTTAAAATCCTTGCTGGCCTAGAACGGGCTTCACTAGCCCTTCCTTAGGGCCAGCTGAGGAATACAGATCCCTCTTAGGAATTAGAGTGCCTCTCAGTCTGCCTGCATGGTAAAATGAGTTGTTGATTTGTGCCCTGCTGACATTCCAAGCCACAGCAGCCTGCTGGCACAGAGTAGAAGTGCTCCATTGGATTTTCTAGGCTCTGCAGTTTAGAGGAGCAGATAACCAGGTCTTTTCTCCTATGGTGCTGTTGGCAGGTTCAAATCACCAGCCTATCAGTTAGCTGAGCACTTAACCATTGTGCCACTGAGGCTCCTTCAATATCAGTTGGAGAGCTTAAAAAAAAAAACCACTGATCCCCACCTCAGATCAGTTGAGTCGAATTTCTAGGGTGGGACCTAGACATTGATAATTTTTCAAAGCTCATATATACGAAAGAGAAAATGGAATATGTGGCTAATTGCCTCCATAAACAACTCTTCCAGAGCAGAAAAACTGGATGGGGCCTACCTACCATCATTGAACATTTTGATGCAAGAGTCTGTAGAAGAATCCTAATCCTAATCAAAAGAGGGAAAGAGCAGAACAGAATTTCAAATCATCTTGGAATCCAGACTTTCTGGAGTCATAGAGGCTGGATGAACCCTCAAAACTATTGCACTAAAATAATCTGTAAATTTTAGACCAAAAATATCCATAAAGTCTGGGAAACAAATATAGTTTACCTTAAGTAGTAAAGTCTGTCTATCTTGAATATTACACTCTTTTAAGATCTCTGTATACGGAATCAAATTAACAACAGCAACTCACAAACGTTGGATGTCGGTGTTAAGTGAGCAGAATCATCATGCCTTCTGCAAGTTCATATTGTTGGAACATTCATTATGTCTCTGGGGGCTGCAGCTTCCTGCAAGTTTTCAGTAGCTGAACTATGAAAGATGCCATATA